TCCCTTGTCAAAATTCTATTGACACCTATTCTGGAATAAAACTACCTGCATTCAAATCTCCAGTTTCAAGACACACTAGTTGTATAACATCAAGCAAGTTACCTGAACTCTGTGCTCTAATTTCCTTATCGGTGAAACAGGATTAATAATAGTACCCACTTCCTAGTGCTGTTATGATGAGTAAAGGAATTATCGCATGTAAAGCGCTTAAAGTGCTTAGCAGTCAGTACTCAGTAAATGTTGTTTTATTAACCATTATTGCTGTATATACAATATCAATGTAAAATAATGTTAAGGTAAAGTAAGTATAAGTTCAACGTGCAGAAAATAAATATTGTACTAATACTCTCAGGTTTAAGTTTTATTTATTGAAAACTAAATAGTTAAAATAAACTCATCCCTTTCAAGACATAAAAAAACCTGATTATGCATTAAGTTGATGGTATTTAAATGAGCATTAATGAAACCGTCAAAGTGGTTAAACAGAAAAATACCTCTGTCATTAAGCGTTTTAGTCCTTCAACTTCATCTTCTCCTGGGTTAAGCTCACCACCAGGTCTGTATAAAGGTTAAGAATTTCAGCTTTCAACTTAATACAATTTGGGGATAACAGGAAAAACACAATAATAATTATTTCTATCAAGTAACTGCATAACACATTTCAGTATCACATAAGGCAATCAAAGCAAACTAATGTCAAATGGAGGGGGAGAATGTGCTAGAAAACTGAATTCATAATGTTAAGTCGCCTAGCAGTACACAAACCCTAGTTTTAAATAAACAAAATAGGTACCGCTACATAAACATCACATAATTGCTGGAAACCAGTCCATCCCACTCTTTTCTCTCTGGACGTTATCTGGTGATAATGGAGTGGAGAAACGCCCAGAAAGCAGTGGACCCACATTCTCTAGATTTTAAGAATGGGGCATTTTTCAAAATTTCCAAACTAGGTATTTGAGAACTCTCTTTCTGGTACAATCTGGTCAAATAGTTGTGGACTAAACACGTATTGAGAGATTTATGAGCTTAAATGAGAAAACTAAACAATTATCTATAAAAATGTAACCCATTTTAAGAATAGGAAACACTATTCATCCTAAGCAGGAAATAATATCAATTGTTCTTAGTAATGCTACAAAGACACCTAGAAATTGAACTCAGACTCATTTGTTTCATAGGGCTCCTATCAAGCTCAGTCACTAACATCAACAATACACAGAAACATGCAGATTTGTACTTAGGCAATAAATGAGCACTGCACTGGAGAAAAAAATGCTTTTGAGTTTCTCTTTCTAAAGACGCCATTAACAGCAGTGTTTGTTGAGATAAATGACTAAAAGCTAAAACTGTATTCCAAAGCTGCAGAGAACAGCAATCCTATTAAAAGTTGTTAATTTCCAATGACACTTACAGTTTAAAGAAAGTTGTTCCCAGCTGTAGCAGTAACACATGGGGTAGCCGGTGCTCATGGACAATCAAAACCCCTTCTACAGTCCTCCTCATGCCAATTTTATCAAATTCCTCCCTCATGCGCTGAAATCTGGCTGCAACGGAGCTGTCCTTCTCATAGAGGGGCTCTTTTGTACCAAAAGTGTAATTGGTAAGAGGGTACCTGTGATCCAAAGACAAACATCAGAGAACTGTAGAACATAACTTACCAGGACAGATACCAACCACAAATAAGGAAACCATGGTAAAAAGTTTATATATTACACTCAGAGACAATAGGATATGTCCAAAGTTAAACAACTAGTTAATAAAACAGCGGAGACTAGAATCTAGCTCTTTGGACTCTAAGGCCAGAGTTTTCATTAGATCAAGCTGCTACTTCATACTTGAACTTTCAAGCACAGATGACAGTATCCTTAAAGCCCTTAAATGCTTAGAGGAGTGGCTATCTGAATAACTGGTAATCCTCTGGTTTTAGATCATGGATGCTACACTAACACTGCCAACCTGGCTAATGCGCCCTTGGGTTCCTCTACTAAACTAATCACAAATTCTATTAATTGTGGGCGCTAATGGTTAATCTCTCTTTTTCTACAAGCTGAGACACCACTTTCCATCATCTCCCCAGTTATTTTCTATTTCTCCCAGTCAACAATCTTCAGACTTTTCTCATACCTTTCTTCTTCAGATGAACTTTTCTTTCCCTTCTAAGCCTTTTAGCCTTCTGCATTTATTCTATTCAGTATCCCTATTCTTCCTTTCCCCTCATTTGAATCTTTTGCCCACTTGATGTAATCTGAATATTCTCTCCTCCTTTATCAAGAATTCAAAATATGAGTTATATTGAAGACAGTTTTCTTCTTGCCTAGTAAGATTTTTTTCCTCAAAGATAGTTTAAAAACTCATATTTATATTTCATCACAGGTACTACCTTGTAACCCCTCGATCATAAGACTTACAATAAGAAGCCTTTGGTTATAAGCCTTTGAGTAAGAATGCTTTGGTCACACCTGTCTGTCCCCAATGCATTTAGTCTACCAAAACACCTTGCATTAGAAATCAACAACAGCATAACTAATCCACTTAGTTATTCTTGAAAGGGGAACAAATCAAGGTTGCCAAAACTTAAAAAATTACTTTAATCCCAGAAGCCAAATTCTAGGCATAAGTGAAGCAGCTCTAAAATAACTAAAATGAACTATTTCCAAGATGCTTTAAAGATTTTAATAATTTCCCCAGTAGACTCAATGCTAAATCTAACATCTTCATCACTAGCAGCAGCAATCCCACACAGCACTGTGTGCCCTGCAATTAAAAAGAAAATGCTTTATATATATTAACATTTAGTTCTCACAACCTGAGTTAGAAAGAATTAAAGACAGCTATAACACATCTCTACTGTAAAAGCCAGCTCTCCCATCACGAGATGCCATCAAGATGAAATATAAGAATTTTCAGCTGTGAAATGAGAGTGCCAGCCCAGACACATCTGTAGTATTCCCATCATACTGTGAGCTTTGTAAAGCAGGGACTACACCTGACTTCCTCACCCCTGTATACCCAGCATTATTCCCAGTGCCGGCTGCAAAGTAAGCATTCATGCAATATCTCATACAATACTTCCTAATAAAATATATTGGAGGAGAGAGAACTTGTTTTCAATTCAGACCATTACTCACCCACGTGAACTGAGTTCACAACACAATCATTTCTGAATACTGTGTTTATATAGGAGAGGAAAAGTGCTGCAAATCCATTAACCCATAACTTTAATGGAGCAAAAATTAAAACATCTTCACCGTTAGTTCCACATAATGGCTTGATGCAAACTGATCCAATAATCAAGGTAAATCAAGGGAAAATTGTGAGTCCTAGTTCTAATTACCAGTGAAAGTAATCCAGAAGCTGTGCTTTCACATTTTTTAGAAGAACATTTAGCCTTTCCCATTTCATGGGAATATTACAAGGATTTTTCTAAAGACATCATAGGAAATTAAAATGCTATTGTTAGTGTAATAGCTAAAGATATTAACTTATATACATACTATCGACTAGTTCCAGATTTCATAAACCCAACATTTTTATTACCTAAATTTCCACTACCTGTTTTGTCAAATAAAACAACAATAACCATCTTTTCAATTTCAAATCGCTTTTGAGGAAAGAAAGTTCATTTATTTGAATATAAAATAGAGAAACACCTAAAGTGTCCTACCGAAACACCAGTATCAGTAAATCCTTGCACCCTTTAAATACTGACCAGCATAAACTGGCCGTTTTCTTCCATTAGAGTCAGCACCACGGTGCCTCACAAACTTTCAGAGGTGATTAAAAAAAATAAAAAAAAAAAAAGCACACATAATTTCTTGAGCAAGACACAGCCCGAATGTCAATTCCCTGTCACAGCGAGGTTACTTTTGAGAGTGGCTTCGAAATGCAATGGCTTGAAGAGCTTAAACAGAAAGATGCTGAAAATAAACGCAGCCCGCAATGGGATCTCTGGAGCTTCATTTTGGTCCTCGCCACGGTCTGAAGCCCAACCACAAAGAAAACCCCAGCCCCCTCCCAAGATGGGCCCTCCTGGGCGCTTGGATCCTGTTGCTGCGGCAGGGAAGACACGTGAATGCATAGGGGGAAGCCAGATAGCCCTGAGCAGACGAATAAAATGTGTATTCAGGAGCTAAAACGCAATAAAGAAACAGAGGAAAAAAACAAAACCTGCGCATTATACTAGATCTCGAAAGCTATTAGAGCAAAGCGAAAACTGCAAAAGCGATGTTACGTTATACCACTCATGCCAAATAAAAACACACAATACGATACCATACACGCGATTCTGAAGGATAAACACCACGGTCTGCGGCCGCTTATCTCCGGAGAGGTGAGGAAAGAATGAGTTCACAACAAAGGGGGTTTTCCTACAATGACTGAATGCAGGGGCATGGGAACAAGCTATCTTTCCAGAAAAGGGAAAACCCTCTCAACTAGGACTCTAGCCCCGTGGTGCTGGAGATCGAAGAAGCGGAATCCCCCGAGGGCGCGCCAGAAGGAGAGGACTGGAGTCTTTAGGGGCGCTCACGACGAAGGGGATGCCGACAGGACAGCGCGCGAGGGCCAGGCCGCACTTACAGGTTGATGGTGCGCTCCAGGGTGAGGGGCTTGGTCTGCTGGATGTACTTGTTGCCGAACTGGTTGACCCCGCGGGGCCAGCCAGTCTGCGAGCGATTGGGCGGCACCACGGACATGCTGGCGAGCTCGGGCACTAGCGGCGAGCGGAAAAGGAGAGGCAGGGAGACGGTCCCTGTGCGGGCAGCCGTTATCTGCGACCCACTCAGCAACCGCCGCCCGCCATTAACAAGAAAGCGCCCGAGGAGCCGTACGTACGCCGGAAGTGCAGTCGGAGCCTCTGGCGGCAGGAAGTAGAGAGGCGGTGGCCTGCCCGACCGAGCAACATCGATCCAAATCGCTGCTGGGATGGCCACAATATCTGGAGCTCCCATTGGTCAGTTGGGTATGGGGTCCGCCTCCCTTTACTTTGGTACTTCCTATTAGATAGCGGTGGAGACACACGGGAAATGAGGCATTCTGGGAATTGCAGTCTCCGTAGGAAAAGAGCCGCTAGATTAGCGTGACGTGGGTCTTGCAGCTTGCGAGGAGATGAGTGGTAAGCGGCCTGCTGAGCCCGTCCCGGGCCGGGCAGGGAAAAAGGGAAAGAAAGAGGTTATGGCGAAGTTTTCGGATGCTGTCACGGAGGAAACCTTGAAAAAGCAGGTGGCTGAGGCCTGGAGTCGCAGGACGCCGTTCCGCCACGGTAAGCGGGTGCTGTGAAGGGGGAGGCGCAGCGCCGGGTCGGGGGCCTCTGAAAAAGTCCGGGCACTCTAGCCGATTCCTGAGCAGCGAGGCTACAGGGGAAGAGGCTCTTGGAGAGAGCATGACTTTGCCACCTCCGACTCTCCTGCCTGGCCTGCTGTCCCTTTTCCAAGTTCAGTTTGGATTTAGAAACCTGGAAGAGGAAGAAATGAAGGCCAGGGAGTTTCGGGAAGTACAGGGCATGCAAGTTCATGGAAATTCTGGAATTAGAGGTGAGGTAGAATCTTTTTCACTGATTGTGCGTCGTTGGGCAGTGGGTTCAGCTCCTTACTATGTAAAGTAGGATAACTAATAGTATTTCCCTCGGAAAGATGTTGACTGTGATTAATAAGCTAACGTATGTATGCATCAATACATATTTTTCTGAGTAAGGACCAGTAAACATTTGGACACATAGTCGAGGGCTTTTGCGGTTTTCCTCCGAAGGTAACGCTCGTTTGTCCCATGATAGCGTAGCCAGAGCATTTGTTGGGAGCTGCCAGATAGCAGGCACCTGAGCTTACTCAGTTTTGCCGGCCTGTAGTTCAGCAACGTGACCCATGAAGGTAAACATGGTTTTGACCAAAGGAAGGAACCTTCATCAAATGATTCCAGCCTCAGCTTCCAAGTATCACCTTACAGGATAAGAACTCTGCTTAATGCATCATGCTTTCCCTTCTAAAGTTTGCCATGATTTTTGTTTCAGTGGTTGAGTGCTCTAAGAGATGAGTGGTGTCCCGGATGCACATAGAAAGTGGTAGCTTAGTGTTTGGAGTGTAAGCTCTGGACACTCAGGGACTTTACAGTTTCCTTATGTGTGGGATGGAGATAGTGATGACGTCTACCTTAGAACTGTTGAGAAGATTAAATGAGATAATGCATGTTAAAGCACCACAGTGCCTGGCAGCTGGTGGGAGGTGGTGGTGGTTTGTATTAGAGGGGTACATAATCTGTCCCACCAGAAGCAGTGGGTAAAACGTTGAGGTAAAACTGAAGGAGTTAGAGGAGGTTATGCCTGACCTGATTTTTTTCTTTTTAAGAAGTATGTATTTTATAACTTCCTCTAGCAGTAACTTAGGCAAAGAAAAAGGGTTGAAGAAAAATTGTATGTCAGTATTGTTATTCTCGTTTTTAATTTGCTACTCTCATTTGAAGTTTGGGGGGAAATGAATTAAGACTCTAAAATACATTCAGTTGAATAAGTAATTGTTGAACTAAAAAACCCCAAAAAGAGCAGAAATCTTAATTTAGTGACATCGTTTGTACTCATCTTAAGGACTAATATTTTTAAGCACAGTACATTTAAAAAGTAGTATTAAGTGGGGGGGGGGGGGGGGG